TAGAGACAAGTTGTGCTGCATAGATTCTGCTGTTGCCCAGGAGTGCCGCGTAGTCCGCGTAGGCAGCGCGATAGTAAGAGTGTGTTCGCATAGTCTGTTCTGTAGGGAAAACAGCCATCCGCGTAGTTCGCGGAGGCAGTCAATCTTAGTATAAGGACTTTAACCCTAAAAATGCTCAATTAGGGTTTCGTGTTGCAGGTTAGGGAGACAGAACTTTCCATGATCAGGCGAGCCCCATGTAGACTCCAATGTCCTGCAATCCTTGTTATCCAACCCCCAGATAGCTGCTTCCAATTTTTGGACACCCTAAGCCTCAAAACCTCAACCCTTCACGCTACATATCCTGATCTACTTCTATATATCCTTATATATCCCTATATATCCTTCTATATCCCTATATTCTCCTATATCCTTTATATATGCATATACATATATATATATATACATATATCTGGACCCCAAACCTTAAAAACCCTAAACCCCTAAATCCTAAACCCCTAAACCCTAAACCCTAAACCCTTTAACCCTAAACCCTTTAACCCTTTTAAAGAAACTTGGCGATCAAGGCCGAGAGCGTCACTGCAGCTGGGGACTTGGCGTTCAGACAGCTGTGGTAGTTGTCATTGTCTAGCAACCCCCCCCAAATTGTGGGTTTAGGGTTTAGGGTTTAGGGTGTAGGGTTTGCGGCTTAGGCTATTGGGTTTAGAGTTGAGGGTTTGGGGTTTAGGGAGGAATATCATCTTATTTGGTTCAACCGCCCAAGTAGTGATATGAGCTACTATCAATATTTATGCTTATTAAGGAGGCCCTGAATAGTGGACGTAGGGGTCCCTCTTGCAAATAAATGAATATAAATAGATATGTCTATATGTATACATATACTCATATATTGAGTCCCTAATAAGCAACCGATCTTCATCAAGTATTTAGGGAATATTATTGGCTGCAGCCCATACGTCATGATGCCGCTAGGTGCCAATGTCTTTCCGCCGAGCCCGTGATTTGCTTGGGGCTATGGCCGCCTTCGCGGGCACGGACAATTTTGAAGAGGCGCGCGCTGCTTTCATGCTGAACCCCAGGGCTCCAGTTACCTTAAGAACAGGTTCTGTAATAATAATAGTAACAAGAGTAATAGTAATACCAGTGGTGATAGTGTTAGCATTAATAATAGTAGTAGTTATAATAATAGTAGTCATAGTCATACTAGTAAGACTAATATTTATCAATGAATAGTAATGATAATAGTAACAATAGTAATGGGTACCTTATACTACACAGCCATGTAGCAAACCCTAAACCCTAAACCCTTAACCTGTTTTGGCAACTTGGAGCCCAAATGGACGTTTAGATCATGTTGGAGCACATTGTGGTACACTGTGGGTCATACCAATACTGGAAACGAAAATAGAAACTACAGGGATTCTAGGGAATACATAGGGACTATATAGGAATTGTTTTGGGATTATATAGGGATTATTGGGATTATATAGGGATAATGGAAAATAAGGTGGAACTATCATATCATATAGGGATTATATGCGGATTATATATGCCACATTTTGCTGGTTGGAGTGGCAGGGCTTGAGTGGTTGCCTGCAAGCAGCGCCTCGTCAGCGAAGCTCATCAACGCTCGTGTGGCGGGTGGCATAGCACCAGACTTTGCTTGCTGAGTGCTTAGGTCGGCACCTCGCGCCACGAGCGCCTCTTGCGTAAGCTGTGGGAACCTGCGTGCTGGGCCCTTGGCTGCGCACGATGCGTGATAGAGTCAGAGTTGCGCAATCACAGTGAGTGAGCTGTTCAAAATCAAGCACAGGTGGCAGCGCGCTCCTCTGTGGCTACGAGCCCTGCCTGGAGGGGTTGTGGAGTGCCGCCCAGCGCGCCCTCTGGGTGCTGCGCGAGGAGCCTGATGGGGAGACACTTCGGCAGCGCTTCGCCCAGTTTGGCTTCGAGCCGCGGAAGCCGCCCGAGCCGCGGCTCCCCCGGCGCCGCAAGCTGCCCAGGGCCGCGGCTGAGGATTTTTTGATCCGCAACGCTTTGGGCCCTCCCAGCTGGAGCGGCCTCGGTGGCCTCCCGGACCCGGGCTCCGAGACGGAGCCCGAGGAGGAGGCTCCGGATTACGAGGCCCGGAAGGCCCAGAGGCAACGCGAGGACCAGGACCAGGAGCGGAGCTTCTCCGCCTTCCTCCAGCAAGGTGCGCAGGTTATTGTTATGATTGTAATTGCTATTCATTTTATTATTAACATGGTTATTAAATAATAGCAATATTATTACTATTACTATGATTATTTGTTATTATCGTTATCTTTATATATATATATATTTTTAATATTTGTTATTATTGTTATCTTTTTTATTATTCATTAATATTCTTCTTGTTATTATTAGCAAGGTGCGCATGCGCCAGATCGCCGGGCCAAGCGCCTGGGCCCCTTCGGTGCGGCCGCGCATCCTCTCATGCCGCGATCTCGGAATCGACACCACATGTGCTGCTGTGAATATTGGGCTTACCAAGAGGATGAACGTAGGGGTTCATATAGTAGTTCAGTATAATCCCGTAATAGAAGCCCATCTCCATTAGCCATGCGGGGAATAGATGCCCAAACCCAAAAGCCTGAAGAAACCAGTCGTAGCCACTGCGTTTTTCATGTTCTGTATGGTTTGCTTTTCAGTGTCCCCATCCCCCTATGACCGTTGCTCACATGCTGCTCGCACCTCGCTTGAGACGCCAAGGCTGCGTCGTGCAGAGCGCCGCGCAGGGAAGATGGCCGAAACTGTGGTATCCCTGGGAACAGTTTTTGATTATTATGGACCATAATCCCAGTAAAACTTTTTCAAACCATACTATATTTTTATGGAGCCCTTGAAGCCTCAAGCCTTAACTCTAGACAGTCCTGAACTAGGGGGACCCCAATATAGACCCCAACATACTATACTCCTTGTGGTAGGGACACCCAAACAAAGGAAAACCCGAAACACTCATCCCTAAAAAAAACTAAGCCCTAAACATGAAGTTTTGGGAAACACTTTTATATCACAATCTTCAAGTATCAGTGCCAGGAAATCTCCTTGGAGCTTGGTCCGCTCTTCAATGGGGAGCCACCTGGGCAAAATGCAGAGTCCATCAGATGGATATAGGGGTCATGCAAGGTTTATGGTTTAGGTGGTGCAGGGGTGGATAGCTTGGAGGTTGAAGAAGACAAGCGCATCCCAGGCCTATGCAACTCTTCACGCAGCCGACATGCTTTTTGCCACTCGTCGGTTGAGGGTTTAGGATTTATGGCTTTGTTAGATCGGCAGTGCCCAGTATAGGGTAGGGGGTTTATATTGGGGTCCCCCTATCCTTCGCAAACTATCATTTAGGAATATCCAAAAATCGGAACTGCTGTTCAGGGATTTAGGCTTCATTGGCCTTATAAAAAGGGCCGTCGCATGTGACATGCAGCAGGTGCTTGGGCTTTCTTGCCATTTGCCATTTACCCCTCTGTAGCCCCTTCAAAGAGACCCTGTATACCCCTAAATAACGCCTTTAAAGGGGACCCGGTATACCCCCTAAGTAGCCCCTTTAAAGGGACCCTCTATATCTTTAAATAGTCCCTTAAAAAGGACCCTGTATGCCCCTAAGGTATGTCTCCACGTAGAGCCCCTTTAAAGGGACCCTATATATATGGGTGGTTGTCAAAA